TGCAGATCTTGAGCTGTTTGTAGACGGCTCCGCTTCGCGCTCACCAGACACGGGCAGCGGTCAGGTTGGGTTTTCAGTGGTTACATCACACAGCACACTTGTTAGTGGCAGGCTTCCTTCACACTTCTCAGCACAGGCGGTAGAGTTGATTGCACTTGCCGAGGCATGTAAAGCAGCTGAAGGTAAAACAGTTAACATCTTCGCTGATTCACGTTATTCTTCTGGTGCGGAGCTCTTTAGAGACACAGGGGGTTTCTTACGTCATCTGGCAAGCATATTGCACATCATACCCTTGTGTCTGCTTTTCTGGATGCCATTTTACTACCCAGAGCCATTGCAGTCATTAAACGTGAAGCTCACACCTCTTCTCTTGACCCTGTATCTGTAGGAAACAGGGGCGCGGATGCGGCTGCGAAGAAGGCAGCGTCGCAGGGCTTCCTTTTCCCCCTGGCTCACATGCTTTCCACACCGACCGATCCTAGTCCTTATGCCGATCTTTCAACACTTCGGCCTCTTGCCGGTGCACAGGAGCGTTCCCTGTGGCAACGATCTGGTGCCATTCTTGAGGGCGGAATCTGGACAGGGCCGGACAGTAGGCCCTGTTTGCCACGTGCTCTCTTCTACATTTATGCTAAGTTGTCTCACGGAAAAGATCACGTGGGCAAAGGGGGGATGTGCACTGCTATAAATGATCATGCTGAGATATTGTGCTAACCTCTCCCCTTCACTCTCAGCACTGCACGAAGAGGTGAAAGCGGCACTTCCATCCACAGCTACAGCAATGCAGCACCACCTAAAACCAGGAGACTGGGTCCTCATTAAGGATCACTGGAGGAAGCACTGGAAGCAGAGACGCTACACGGGGCCCTTCCAAGTACTCCTGACCACGGAGATGGGAGTTGAGGTGGAAGGGAAAGCGACGTGGGTTCACACCAGCCACTGCAAACGCATCCCGGATCCAGGAGGCGAAGGAGCACCTCCATCTGGTTCCGGTTAAGGGGTTGCAGGGTGGAGAGCCCTCCCCCACTGCAGTGTTCCAGGACACCGACGAGCCCGGTAGAGACGGCAGAGACAACAAGGACGGCAGCCACCCGGAGAACAGCGATTAAAGACAGATCTCCAGTGCCAAAGAACACTTAGGAAGCATGGTTGGAGCCTGAGAATGAACATGTGTTTATCACTATCACTGGCCACATTTGTGCTGATCCCACTCACGATCAATGAGCTACGACCTCCCTATGTGAACACCACAGATTCCGGCCTTCTCCACGCTCCAATAGAGAATTTCAGGAAGTTTCCACTGTCCAGCAAAACAATGCGACAAGTGTTTGCTCTACACAATCGAACATGATGCATGGGTTAAAATAGAAAGTTACGTAAATGAAATTGTGTGTGTTGCCGGGTTGGGAGAAGAATATGTACTGTGGGGGTGCACAAGAGTTTTGATTTAGCAGATCCACCATTCCGGTGCAGTAAACCACGATCGTGTTAGGAGATACCAGCCTACACTGGCTCCAGCAACTGGAGGGAGGCATGCAAAAGAACTTACCAGCCTGTCCGAGAGACACAGCCTAAAACAGCACAACCTGAAATAATTTACGGGGCCGTTAAACCACAGGCCCTGACCTCCCTTAGGCCAGAACAGCCCCCCACTAAAGCAACTTGGAGGCGAGGGTTGATCTCTCTCAATTGTCCGAGAGGGGGGACTGAGAAGGAGGGTTGTAAAGCTTACATGTTACGGCTGAGCACGCCGCACTTAGGTCACTGGTCAGTCCTGGACTCGGAGGACGTTAGAACTCAGTGTCAGACAAATGATACTTGTACGGTGTCTGTAACTCCTAAATATGATGCAAGTTGGGAATACCCGTTCTGGTGCGCTCTACCTGAAGGTTGTACGACGGAACCAGCCCATTTCACTCGGCTAGATTGGCAGTATGCGTGCAAGTAAGCCTAACGTTAAGAACTTCCAAACCGTACACCACCGTACAAGCATGATAATATTGCGTTGACTATTATGAAGGATTTTGCTAACAAAAGGAATGTCTAATTGTTGGATATGTCAGCATATGCCCATTTCATCTAGAGCACCTATGCTGGTTCCTGTTCCATTCACGGAAGCCGACTGGGATGTCATGGGGTGGCCTGAGCTATCTCATCGATTTGTGAGTAATGATGTAGACTGTTACACTCCTCCACCGCACACGGCGACAACAGCACAAAGCACAGTTGCCTATGAGGGTGGAAAGTTGTACGTTTTGCAGTTTAGCGGTTTAGCGGTTCAATCGTGAAAATAGACGGTATTAATCAAGCGATGTTGCTTAGATTAACCTATCACAAAAGGTATGTCTAACAGGGGTTACGATATCAAGTGAAGGGTCGTCGTGGCGCAGGGCTTAGAGAAGGTGTGCTGGGAAGCACAAGGTTGGTGGTTTAATTCCAGGCTGCCCCATGTTTCATGTCGAAGTGTCCCTGAGCAAGACACCTAACCCCTAATTGCTCCCCGGGCAAAAATGTGCAAAAGCCATGGGTTTAAAGTGTAATGTAAGTCGCTTTGGATAAAAGCGTCTGCTAAATGACCTGTAATGTAATCTAAAAGTGCAAATGACTCTCAGGGAGACTAATTGCACACCGGACAGTAAAGTGTTGAAAAACCTGCATGTACTCTCATACCAAATACAGCATCTATTCGATTGGAGATGGGTATACAGAGCATCCCCTGGGCAAATGATTTTAAAGTCACACATACAACTTGGAGTAGACATAATTGTAGTAAACCTTTAATCCCAACTAGACCTCCGAATAGAGATTGTACTAACCCAGCACCTCCCATTCCGGTCCATCCCTTAACCAACGTCAGCCGCTGTGTTAACTTCTATGCCCTGGATGGATTTCATCTAGGTACGAGCGACTGTAGTAATGATATTATCAGCTTTGCCACTGAGTTTAAGGACCTCGCATTACCGGGAAAGGTGTATTTAGTTTGTGGCAACATCGCTTACAGCTGTGTTCCGGTCGTAGGGAACCTTCGTAAAAGGTCAGTAACTGGGAAATGCTATTTAGCATATCTTATACCCCTAATTAGACAAGCTGACTCCAAGGGACTTGCGCCATTTCATGTACGTCATAAACGCGCCATTTCACTAGGTTCAAGGATTTTGAGCATAGTAATACCGTCCTATGGCACCTACAGGAGCCAAGAGGAAATAAGGGCACTCTCAACAGTACTGGAAAGACACATGAATAAGACTTCAATAGCACTTTCCGAAATGCAAAAGGAAGTAAATGACATCAAACACATGGTACTACAAAATAGAATGGCTCTGGACCTCGTTCTGGCCTCACAAGGCGGGGTATGCAAGATATCTAACAGTGAATGTTGCACTTACATCTCTGTTGCAACATCGCAGTTTATGATATGGTGGCAGACATAGAGCAAGGCATTAAGGAATTGCATGAAGACCACGGCTGGAATTCTTTTGGGGAAATACAGGCACGGGTTGGATCACGGGGAACTTCTCTCTTCAAGGAACTGCTATGGGAATTAGGGGGCATTAATCTGTCTGTAATTGTTATAACCCTAATTGTAACTGTTTTAAAGCTCTTGTAAGGAAGGTTGTTAGCACTCATGTATCAGTTGAACACACAAGTACTACTATACGGTGTCCGGTTCAGAAATGGACTCCATATCCATACACCATATCCGGATAGCTCTGACAGTGATGATGAGTGTGAGGATTGTGTATAACTAAACAGCATGTATGGTGTTAATGTTTAGCAAGAGTTCTCAATGTACCTAGAAGTTAATGATTTTACACCACTGAATTTACACCACTCATGTATGTTCTAAACGTTTTCTTTGTTGTTTAATTTTCTTTCTTAATTTCGATTTGATTGTTGTTTAGAGTTTCTTAAGTTGATTCCGGATTGTCAAAAATGACAAAAAGAGAGGGATGTTGGGGGAAAATTGTTGAGCCTGCGTGGGGTGAGGCTCTCAGGAATGTGACCCTTGATGTGAGCCGGTGACTTAAGGCAGTCCAGGGTGAGATAAGACACAGATGAAAACATGCGTGCCCTGACTGACCTTTTAGATCATCTGCTACTTTTCCCACATTCCTCTTGAGGGGTGGGCTGTCCTGAGGCAGCACAAACCCCCCTAAGTGTATAAAACCTCCTGTTCTCCTCTTTGACTTTGTCAGATCTTCCTGCTCCTTTTGGGGGAAGGAACCTCTGTCCCTTTTCAGCTGAATTGTAGTCATTTGACTTCTGTCTGTGCTTACGACTTGTGCTGATGATTTCTATATTCTTTATCTTTTGCCTTTACTCTAGTCAGTAATAAATACTTAATCACAAAGCAAGCTCAAGATACTTTTGATTTCTCACATGGGCTAAATCCACAAATTTCCACCACATAAAACAGACACTTGCATACACACTGGATGTTGACATTGCGAACATCATCTTTAAAATGTATCAACAGTCTGGAGTACTGTGAGTTTGCTACTAGTACTGTTTTTATTTTATCATTATTGCTTCAATATATGGACCAGACACATTAAAGAAGCGCTGGACTAAATGACACCAAAAAGATTTGTTTTACATTTGCACTTTGCAGTCTTGTTAAAGTTCAATAAATAGATGTTCGTATAGTCATTTGTGTCATTTCATTTGTGACATTTGTATGCGTTCACATGGTCATGGTGCGGCATGCTATACACTACCCCCCCACCACCACCACCACGCCCCCTGTCACGCCCCCGCCCCCACGCGACTAAGTGTCCTCTTTTTCACAAACTCAAATCTGGTCACTCTAGTGTACTGCGCCAGCGTGTCACAAGCAATATGATCGATGCAACCTGGCAGATATATATATAATCAGGATATCCGGTTATATCGCCAAAGGCTCACAGTAGCGTGCCATAATGTTTGCCGGAATAAGAGATGGCTTTCTGCCCAGACACGACGTTTAAAAGCGACACTCACTGCTTACCGTCACGCTCTCGCCGTCGCGTCCAGAACCACCAGCTGCATTGTGTCGGTTTTGTTCAACGTCCCCTCCAGCCGAAACATTTCACTGGACACAACTGGCCACCGGCGACAAAACATGGCAAACACAGAGGTAACGTAATGCTAACGTCGAGCTTGAGGGACACCGGGGCATGCAAGAGGTGTTGTTGTTGTTTTAACACCCAGCTGAACGCTGAAGCGAGCTGGAGCAAACTGTCACACCGGTGTTACGGTTTAACGCGCGACCCTGTTGAACCGAAACGCACGCGCCAATCTGTTGTAAAGCCGATACAAACGTACGTTTCATTCTTTGTTGTGTCCGCTGCTTGGCGTGTGTAATTTAACATTAGTGTAGCAGTGTAATCAAATTATTGTTGCTGTCTCCGCTGCTCACCAGGGGGGTAAACTCTGGGGAGGTCGCTTCCTGGGTGACACCGATCCCATGATGGAGAAGTTCAACGCATCAATCGCCTATGACCAGAGGATGTGGAATGCTGACATCCGAGGGAGCAAAGCGTATGTGAAAGCTCTGGAGAAGGCAAAGCTGGTAACCACGGATGAGATGAATCAGATTCTACATGGGCTGGATCAGGTGAACGTCACATGTTGTTTCTCTCAATAAGTTCACACAAAATGTAAATAACGAGCCGGCACTTTGCAACGGATGGAAATTAGGAGGTTGTGTGATTACAAACTTGATCACAGTTCTCTCACATGTGCATGCAAGGATACATAGTCCTGCTGCATTGTGGGTGCGTGTGTCATTGTCTGCCCTTTAGTGTAGATGTAGGTTAACGGATAACAGCTGTAAAATGTGCAATGGAGTAGAATTCCTCTCTGTATTATGCAGAGTCAGTGCTGAACAATACTATGGCAGCTGCCAAACAACTCCAGTAATTCTTTCACTCACACATTCAGGTCAGGGTTCAGGGAGCCCTCTATCCTGATGTTTTCTTTGGCAATTACAGTGATTATAGTAGTACCGAGTGGTATTAGTACCAGTGCACTAATAGGAACATAAATGCAGTGTTACCACTGCAATACAGAAATACATAATATGATGTTGATAATCCGCCGTCCAATCACACACGGATGCTGACTAGAATTCAGCGGGTCCATACGTGTGCTATTACTGTTTCTAAGTGTATCTGTTAAGCCTACTTGGTGATACAGCCCTTTGTTCTCCTCCAGATTTGTGGTGAGTGGTCTAAAGGAGTTTTCGTGATCAAACCTGAAGATGAGGACATTCATACTGCCAATGAGCGCAGGCTAAAGGTAAACCGGGGCTTGTTTGTTTTTCATTAAGTGAAAACTGAATTTTTACATAATAATATAAGGAAGACCAGGGTTTGTAACACAGGTCTTCTATTCTGTCATGTTTTTCAGTCACATGAGAACCTGTTAAATCCATTGAATTGCAACTGAGGTGTTATTCTGTTTTTAGTTTACAGCTATGATAAATCATATTTTCATGTTTTAGATTAGATTAGATTCAACTTTATTGTCATTGCACAGAGTACTGAGGCAACGAACTGCAGTTTAGCATCCAACCAGAAGTGCAAAATAGCAAAAAGTGCAGAAAATGTGCATATGTAAAGTGTAATAAGTGAATAAATAGATATGTACAGTAAGAAATAGATATGCAATATGAACAGTAAGAGGTATTGTAGGTATAAGTACGATTAATACAGTAATAAGTGGTAGAAAAAAACTGGTGCAAATGTTCAGTGGCTGGAGGAGGGTGTGGCAGTCAAGCCAGGGTGGAGGAGGGAAGTACAGACACTGAGGGAGATGTGTGTGGGGGTGGGGGGCAGAGTTCAATAGAGTGACAGCCGCAGGGATGAAGCTGTTCCTGAACCTGCTGGTCCGGGAACGGAGCACCCTGTAGCGCCTCCCAGAGGGGAGGAGGGCAAACAGTCTGTGGCTGGGGTGAGAGCTGTCTTTTTCGATGCTGCGTGCCCTCCGCAGACATCTCTTGCTCTGGGCAGCCTCAATGGTGGGGAGTGAGGAACCGGTGATGCGTTGGGCAGTTTTCACCAACCTCTGCAGTGATTTACGGTCCGCGACAGAGCAGCTTAGAAGTGTTTGCTCTCATTTGCCCACTTGCTTTGGCTCTTTTAATGAGGTATGTTAAAAAGGAAAAATACGTAGCAAAGAATGTGTGGTATAAACGAAGCAGCATAACTGTTGTACTGTTGGCTGATAACTTTCAGGAGCTGATAAGCGCACCTGCAGGGAAGCTGCACACTGGCAGGAGCAGAAACGACCAGGTTTGTCTTTAGAATATTAAAACACGAGTGACTGAATGAAATTTGGACTCCGCATTGGCTGTGCTTCACTGTGCCGTGTGTGTTCACCAGGTGGTGACTGACATGAGGTTGTGGCTGAGAGATGCCATCACAACCCTGACAGACAATGCCCTACAACTGATGTCTACCATGGTGGAGCGGGCCGCAGCGTGAGACGGATACACACCGATTACGCCAGCACGCGCACTTGTAACGAGGCTTTTAAAAAAAAAAGTTGCCCTGTATATTCTTTCTGAACCTTAGAGAAATTGATGTCCTGTTTCCTGGTTACACCCACATGCAGAGAGCTCAGCCAATCAGATGGAGCCACTGGATTCTAAGGTGACCTTAAATTAAGCAAATCCTACACGTCTTCCACCTTTTGTTTCCTACTATGATGTAACGTTCACGTCGGTCTCCTGTGTTTCCTGGCTCGCTGGTTGAACCCACCCCCAGTCATGCTGTCGCTCTAAGCAGAGATGTTGACCGACTTCTGGAGATCAAGAAAAGAGTGAACGTTTTACCTCTCGGCAGGTACATTGTGAACCCACGCCAGCTATCTGACACTGACGCTTTTCCCCGACAGAGAGGACCAGTTAATGAGAATGATTCTTGCTGTTTTCAGTGGGGCCATTGCTGGGACGCCCTTTGACATTGACAGGGAGCTACTGATGAGAGGTTAGGCTACTTGTCCAAAATAATACCAGATCATCACTCTCCTGTCAAAAGTGCACTTTTGTCTATTCATAAAAATGCATGCATTTTTAGAACTGTAGAAACTTTGCTTCTCCTCCTCTGTAGAGTTGGCGTTTGATGGCATTAGTCTTAATAGCATGGACGCCACGGGCCAACGGGATTTTGTTGGTACGTAAACTACACGTGTGTGTCGATTTCTCATCCACTGAAATTAAATTAACTCTTGTGACGTCTTGCTTTAACGACCTCATGTTTCCACGTGTGTTTCTTCAGCGGAGTTCTTGTTCTGGGCTTCGTTGTGTTTGACCCATCTCAGCAAGATGGCCGAGGACCTGATGCTGTACAGCACCAAGGAGTTCTCCTTCGTCTCGCTTTCCGACGCTTACAGGTCTCTCAGTGTTTGTCAAAACCTCATTCTACATATTGTGTGACATCAAAAGTGAAATGGAAATATGAAATCATTGCTGTCACTGAAGTTGTCCACCTTCACCTTCAATCTGGCCGTGTGAAGTTCATTTTAAATCTTCTAGGTGGTTTTACTGCTATCCTGTGCTTTTCATTAGGCCCAGTGAGTTATTGTGCAGTTGATATTCACTCTTCTATATTTCTATACTTGTTGTGTGTGTGTAGCACCGGCAGCAGCCTGATGCCCCAGAAGAAGAATGCTGACAGTCTGGAGCTGATCAGGAGTAAAGCTGGACGTGTCTTTGGCAACGTAAGAGAAAAGATCCTCTTTGTTAAATCGTCCTTTTTTCCTGCTCATTGAAGGGCCCACTTTTCCACTTCTGTGAGATCAGTGCCCTCATGTGACATAAAGCTATAGTTTAAAGCTTTTTTTCTGCAGAATCAAAGCTTTCTGGTCGAACTTCTGTTTTTTTCCAGTGTGCAGGGTTCATGATGACGCTGAAGGGCCTGCCGAGCACCTACAACAAAGACCTGCAGGTATGAAAGCGTTCACTTCACTGGATGGACTTTTCTTTTCTGTAATGTTTTTGTCATGCTGTCCTTGTCATCCCTCACCAGGAGGATAAGGAGGCCATGTTTGACTGCTATGATACGGTTCACGCTGTGCTGCAGGTGACAACTGGAGTCATGTCAACTCTCAAGGTCAGAGTTAGACTGTTGATTATGTTGAAAAAACAGTTTGTGGCGACTTACTTTTACTTCATTTAAAAAAACCTTTACCTTGTTAACCTTGTTGTTACTGCCAATAGAAAAAATCTGGTTCCTGTTCTGTTTTCAAAAACTGCAGCTGTAGAAATAATGCACGTATAAAGAAGATTTACATTTACAGCATCCCAGGAGGAGAAAATTTGATGATTTTGATTCAGTTGAACGACCGTACTTCTGTTTGTCTCGTGCTTCAGATTAACCCGAGTGTGATGGAAGCCGCCCTCAGTCCGGACATGTTGGCTACTGACTTGGCCTACTACCTCGTGAGGAAGGGGGTGAGTGTTGTTTCAGTTCGCTCCCATCCCAATGCAAATCTTAAGAATTCCATTCTAATTTTAAAGAACTTTTAGCCTAAATGAGCAACAGTGTTTGTGCAATGTGAATATTCTTAAAAGGCTTGTCAGATTGTCTACACGCTCAGGAATCACTTATTTTGGTTGGTTAATTATTGCATTCATCGCATCTTCATGCAAACATTTCGACAGCACATTTTATAGTGACATTTAACGAGAACCACAGAGAACAGATGCATGAACAATGCTTTTCACAGGAGATTGCTGCAATCAGGACAATACAAACTGTATTTGATCTGGATTTTAAGTGCATTTGTGTGACGCTTTGCTGCAGGTGCCGTTCAGAGAGGCACACGGCATCTCCGGTAAAGCTGTGTTTGCAGCTGAATCCAAAAATATCGCCCTCAATCAACTCACTCTGGAAGACCTGAGTGCTGTTAGGTGACTCTCCTCGTTCTCATTCTCACACACACACAAAACCAGGAAACAAAGAGCCATTATTTAATAGAAACGGGTGTGTGAAGTCTAAATTAGCCCCCTCTCTCTCTTTCTTCATTTCAGCCCTCTGTTTGGAGGCGACGTCTCCTCGGTGTGGGACTACAGGAGCAGCGTGGAGCAGTACAGCGCCCCTGGAGGCACAGCCAAGAGTAGCGTGGCTGCGCAGGTGGAACAGCTGAGGGACTGGCTTCAGAAACGGACACTATGATCTTGACCTCATTTCACCTTTAATATTGTGAATCGAGCTTACTGACACAATTTAGATTATGAGGAAATGTCAGATTGAGTTCAAAAGGGACACATGTGCGACGTGAAACCATGTCGCCTTTCAAAAGTCTCCTCCCTTCTTTTGAAGTATATGTGTAGCCAGGAGATGTTTCAACTGACCACATGGGCCGATCATAAGTGTTACAAGGACCGGCAATGAATAAATGTTACTCAAACTAAGTGTTTTACAGTTTGATCCATTGAAGGACAGTCGGACATCTGATTTAATATTGCTGTTAACACCCACAGACTCCAGATGGTGCAGACCGGCTTGTGTCGACTCATAAAGGTCATGAGAATTGATAACGGTTTGGTTTCTTCCAAACGAGTGCACATTAAAATAGAAAAGCCTTCATCACCTAATCTGCTACATTAAAATTGACTGACAGTGAAGAGAACCACGAGTGTGTCAATTGATGGAGAATTTGCAGTAAATTAAAAATGTCACAGAGCTTGTAACCCTAAGAAAAAAACCTACCGTAAACCCCTAATTCTACACTTTTATTCATCACACTTACTGAAAACCACATTTAAGGAAAAGAAGATTTGAGTCGAGTGGGAATTTAGAATATTGACTCCTAATGAGAAAGATGAGTAACGTTAAAGACCTAACTGAGGCAAAGACCAAACACAGTGTCGTCCAGAAGTGGACGGTTTACTTACACTTTGCACAATAACTTCGCTGTAACTCATGTGCAAATGCAGGTGGCATTCTTTTAATGTTCTGGGTCAGTGTATCGGACACGTTGTCAGCAGCACCACTGAGACGACACTGATCCAGAAGCGCAGCACGCTGGTCACGGCGCCGCTCGCCACGGACCGGTACACAACCCGGCCATCCAGAGGCTGCGTGGGTCTGAAGGTGTCCGTCATGGGCTGTCCGGTCCAGAATCGACACTGCCGAACGATGTCGTCCAGCTGGAGAGGGAAGCGAAAAAACCGTTGCATTTCTTAGTCAGAAGCCTTAAACTGCAAAAAATTGACATTATTGTGACACAAAGATTGCTTTTCGGATGCTTCATTTTTCAAAGTTGAACTTCTAGTTCTTAAAATAGAAGTCAATAGAAGAAAGACTGCTTATTCAAAAAAAGGCAAGTCAGCCAACAACAGATTTTTCCTCACGCCAATAACAGTATTTTTTATGAAGTTTAACACTGCTGTTGAGTTTATAGTATGCATTCATTTGAGATCAACACCCACAGTGACATTATAGTCCTGTTATATTTGCGGGAAGGCAAAGATCTCTTAAAAACTAGACAAGTTTCACCAGTAACATAAAGTCCCTTCACCAGACGATCCGTCGTGTAGAAGTCATTTAATGAATAATAATAACATTTAATGAAAACTTCAAGGACATAAAAAGGTTTACCTGTATCATCACAAGTCATTTTGGAGATTCCCATTCCAGTGTGTAAACCACCTGTCTGTAGCTGCTCACCTGCCGACTGCTGACGGCCAGTTTCCTGTGAAACAGCGTCCAGGCGACCGCCTGTTCACAGCCGGGCGTTGTCATGGAGCCCACGTAGCGGTAGTAGCTGTGCAGCTCCTCTGCCGAAGGGATGATGTCACTGAGTTGAAAGTTAGGGATCACGGTGCTGTTGCCTTAACATGGAAAGACGTGTGTGGAGGAAAAGGGAAGATGAAGTTTCACTGTACGGCGGATTATATCTCAATAAAAGTGTGAAATGCAGTGCGTACCGTTGTTTTGAACCCGGCCCAAAGCAGCTATCACCGCGTCCAAGTGAGGGTGATCGTCTGGTGTCTCCTGTGCGACGCCATCAATTAGGACATTTGAATGAAGAAGGCGGAGTCATGGAGAGGAGTGAATGTGAGTGCATTACCTCAAACAGGAAGGCCAGCAGAGCTATTCCCACCATATCGTGCTCGGCCTCGACCAGAGAGCCATACGGCTCCTTGATGTGGACTATGTGCAGCTGGAACCACAAAACACAGCAAAGGACCTCCACTATTAGAAGAGGGTGCTTTATAGCGCAGCTCACTGTTTTACACACTCTGTTATTCCTACTTGTAGAATCTGAAAGAATCAATATTAAAACTGTGAAGGCGCATGCTTCTACTTCTGATAAGTGTGTGAAACGTTTTCCCCGTTGAGTCCCCAAACACGGGAATATAAGTGGTGATAATACTGCTACGGATCAAAGGTTTCTTCCGTTCGAGGCCTCAAACAAGGCCTGTGGTTAACACGAGTTTAAGAGATTTAATTGTTTTGTTCTACAATGAAAAACAAAGTATCTCATTAGTAATGTTAGAAGCTTTTGCGTTTCTTAAAAAGGAACTTACTAACAAGCCAGGCTGAATCCTTCCCCTCCATGTGTGCTGCAACATTTTACTCTTACTGAGAAGATGTGTGTATAATACTGCAACTTTGTATATTGTTATGTACCGGTCACCAGGTCAAAGGCCTGGTACTTGGCAATAAAGCGTTTCTTATTCTGATGAGACGTCATCAGTCATTTGTGAGGATACTATTGCAGAACAAATCCTGTCATTAAGATCGCTGTTCCTTGGCTACAAAGTATATTTTCTGCAACGATCCACAGTCTTCAATAAGGCCGCTCCCTGCAGCGTCCCACAGCAGCAGGCGTGTGACGTACCTCCATCGGGTACCTCTCCCCGTCGATGGTGTGCTCGGACCCCGGCCTCCCGTTCCCTCCCCAGTGGAAGTGGAACTGGGCGGCTCTGTACTGACCAGGCAGAGCTCCTCCGGTCAGTCGCACCGACTGCGGCAACGCGAAGTGAGCTGCAAGGGGGGAAGAAAACGCACAACGTCAAGCCCGAGAGGACACCAGCAGACCAGCGGGGGGGACAGGAAAGGTGCCGCTCAGCTACCCGAGTGTCCCTTGTTTTCCACTGTGACGTTGATCCTGTTGGTGTGGCCGATGAAGGCGAAGGGCGGCAGGGCGCCGTTGACGTGCACTCTGCTGGTGACGATGTTAATGGGCGATTGGCGTAATCCACCGCAGCTGGGGAACTGAGCGGCCCAGTGGATCGGCTCTGAGCGGTTCAAACAGCAGAGGGGACAAACATCAAACGTTTGAATTCACTGGCCGACATATATGATCCCCGACCGGAGGCGTCGAGTTATTCTTAATGCTTAACGTCGAGCTCAACAACAATTAGTTCACTGTTGAACCATGGATAAACAAGCAGGGGGCCTGGTCAACCAGGACTGTTTGAATTCACACCTCGTGATTTCCGCAACCCAGTCTCACAGCAAAACGTGTAATAGCTACGTTGGTATTCTCACGCTTTCTCCCCAAGCGTGACAATACCACGTTCCACAACGTAGCTACTGCACGTTTTGCTGTGAGACTGGTTGGATTTCCGTGGGGGAACATCTGTCTCTTTGGCGGCTAAATGCTTTGGCGTATCACAGACTTGCGATTGATTTGTTCTCACAGTCTCGGGGTTTGTCTCTTAAAATACTTTGTGTCTCACCTCTGCATGTGTCGTTGCAGGAGTACTGGCTCTGGTAACACCACTGAGCTGGAGAGAAAGCACAGCACTCAGTCCAGAAACACACACACACACACACACACACACACACACACACACACACAGTATATTCTGGTTCAGGACACTCGTGCCAAACAACATGGATTTCTCTAGTTAGTAAATGGGTATTAATTTTTCTCATTTTCCCCCTCCATTAGACATTAAGAGTGTTTTTGTTCTCAGTCAGCGATCTTGATGGCTGATCTGCTAATGTGTTTTTGCTTTGCAGCTGAACTTTGAGAAGTCAGGTTGGGTAAAACATTTTCTCTCACACACACACACACACACACACACACACACACACACACACACACACACACACACACACACAGAGCCAAGATAATTATTAATTCTCACATTACTTATCCCGTCCTTCAGAAGCAGTTTTGCTCATTAGCTAAACATAAATTCTCTGATGATGAAATACCCAGCAGTGATGGATTAACAGAATGATCACCAGCCGTTAGGTATCAATGCAATTTCACTGGAGGTTATGCAAACACACAAAAAAATCACATTGAACTTCAACATCGAAAGGTTAACAAAATACAACAATCGCCGCTTCAAGAGAACTCACGTATCAAGCCAACGAGCTAGAAAGCTGCTGCAATGACAAATGGGCTAAAATACACAAAACCGTCATTATTTATGAAATGTGCTTTTTTTGGAGGCATTCATTAAATCATGAAATTCAAACGTTTTTCTCTATTGTTTTGATTTCGGGCTAAGAAGGAAACAGAAAAAACAAACACAAACATCAATGCTCGGCTCTTATCTTCAAAACAACAAACACCTCCTCAAAGCTGTGTTTTCACATCAGACACCTTTTAACATGACAAAGCCGACCTCAATATGAGTGCAGTGATGGCACCACTGGCAGTGACCTCTGAGCGTGACCTCTACGCCGCCAGTGTTTTTGTACCTGTATCATTAGGTATCTATATCTATATAGAAGTAAATACCAAAGACACATTGGCTTTCCTGCATGTGATGAGGACGTCCGCCTCTGCAGCTGCTGCAGCCCTCCTAAATAAATTGACCCCATAGATATGTAAAAAGGAACTGGAGAGAAGTCATTATATTTGATTGATTCCGGGGATTATGTCAAAACCCAGAACAGTGAGTTGTAGATAATGAGACGACGCCGGCTCAGAAAACCTTCATCCGACTCCCTCCAACATCCAACAGCATCCAACAGGTGCAGGGGGGGTCATTTAGTCTTGTGCCGGTGTTGTGTATTGTGTTGCAGATGTGAATGAAACTCCAGTGTCTGACTCAGCGGTGGGAATGAAAGGCGCTATAGAGAACCATTTAGCTAATATAGGGACGCAGATTAACCCCGCTGAAGCTCCCACAATGCAATTCTCTGAAAGGGGACAACGGTTCTCACCGACTGAGAACAATGCACAGGTGGAGTTTGGCTTTGCTCCACCTGGCTCACACAGGCAGCAAACTGAGCGGCGCTGAGAAGTCAAACCTGCTTTCATTTCTTTCTCTTATCATTGCCTTTTTTTCTCTGTAAGCCGGCATTATGGAGAAGTTAACTAATTTTATGAGGGATTTCCAACTTTTGAACCCTTTGAAACAACCCAATGTACATTTTGAAAGACGAAATTGCAGTCGATAAGGGGGACGTACGATAGAAAGCACTTAAGATCAATTCAGCACGCCTGAGTGCTCTGATGTGAGCGCCTGCTGCCATTAAACGAAGCAGCGTCTTATTGAAATTTGAGCCCGCAAAGATTAGTCCATTAACCAATTAGGTCATCAACAGGCAGTTGAGTTGAGAACTGTTTAATCTTTTGGGTGGGAAATTTGCGTTTATTCAATGTACTAAATTGATGTTTTGGACAGTTAATTAAAAGAAACGAGTCAATCAAACCGCTTTTTGGGGAGAATTTTCTGTTGTTTATACAATAATAAGCAAAAAGATGAAAGATAATCTTTGTACTGTAGAAATGTGTTACCTGCTTTTTAATTATTGTGGGATCCCGCTCAATGACTGCCTTTCATTTCATTTCTCTCAATGATTTTAGGAGTCACATTAAGTATTTCAAGTCACATTCACAAAGCATAACATCTGGGATCTTTCTTAATCAGGTGGTTCCATCTCTGCAACATACAAGTCTTAATATTGTGCTAAAATAATGCTCCCAAATTAAAAGAATGGGGTGTAAACCCAACCCAGGTGTAGCATATATTTTTTTATTGTCCTACCACTTCAAGTGTGTGTGTGTGTGTGTGTGTGTGTGTGTGTGTGTGTGTGTGTGTGTGTGTGTAAGTGTGTGTATCCTACCTGTGCAATGGGAGAAGAAGGAGAGCAGAGCTGGGAGGTAGACAGAAAAATCCATGATTAGCAAAGTGACCCAAAAAGATCCTGACTAATTTCAGCTGCCTTCACATACTGACTGTTAGCTGCATTTGAGGGTGGGAGGAAGACGGTCATGAGTTATACAAAAGGTGTGTGTGTGTGTGTGTGTGTGTGTGTGAGAGAGAGAGAGAGAGAGAGAGAGAGAGAGAGAGAGGGAGAGAGAGGGAGAGAGAGAGTGGGAGTGTGTGTGTGTGAAGGAGGGAGAAGAAAAGTCCCTCTGAAAGTTGTCATGTGTCTAATTGAAGAAAAAGACGGACACTTGTTAGATTGTGTAATTATTTCCGGATGCATTAAGCTTAAATCTGCCTCTTCCATCTTGCTGTCTGTTGTGTTTCCACCCGGCGATGACCCAACGACATTCACACTCACAAATCCATGGATGCAAAAGAAGTATAACAACCTGAGCAATATTTTGTTAATCTTAATTCAAATTAAAATATGATCAAATCTGGTAAATCTGAAATTATTAATTTAACCGTTGATTCAAGAACAAAATCACAGCTCAAACTCGATTTATGTTGGTAGCTTTAAGTAGCCAACGTTATGTAGCTAATTAGCTTTAAGTAGCTCAAAATCCACAGGTGAATTAATTCCATCATGAAGTTCCACGGGTTGTTTTTTGTAACCGATCTCTAGACGGACTTCGTTCAGAAGAACCTTCAGAGTAACTTATGTTGGGCTGGTGCTGTTTTCAGTGCGTGCTCTCGTTTAGCGGCGTCCCTCTATTGTCCTCTACAGACGGACACAAGCAGAGAGGATACTAAATTAACTTTTTTTTTCTGATAAAAGTACTCTTATGCAGAGGCGTCAGTTTCAGAACAAAATCTATTTTATTATTTCATAATTATTATTACCAATATTACATTACATGTCATGTAGCTGACGCTTTTATTCAGAGCGACTTACAATAAGTGCATTTCAACCATAAGGATACAAACCCAAACGAACAATATAATGTTACATAAAATAACTGATACATGTAGAAATATTTTTATCGAATATTAATCCAATATATAAATACATGTGTAGTAATAACTAAAAATCTTTCAACGGTGTTCCTTTAAGACCACTACATGTTACAAGGTTACTTCATTTGTTATAGGCGTGACAGAAATGTAATGTTTTATGTTCAGTTATTAGCTGAACCATCATTGAAATGGAATAGACACAAAGTGAACAGTAGATAAACAATAAAAACTGATTAATTCTCAAAAAATGCAACTAACTTCATTTGTTACATTGAACATTCATTGATTGTTATTAAATCCTGCAAAATCTGTTCGTATCACAGTTCACAGAGTATTTTCTTACTGTGATATGAACTCATTTTGCAATTTTTTAAAATAACCAATAGCAAAATCACAGCAGAATGTTTTAAAGTGAATTTAAAGTGTTTTTAAAATATGTAAACGTGATTAAACGGAACATATCGATTCTGAACACAAATTTAAGAGCCATACATAAATAATTACCTTCATGAAAATAAGATATTGGCTCCATTGAAACTTCTGACGGTTATTGAAAAATAAATATAATTAATAATGATTAATTAATTAATTAATTAATTAATAATTAAGGCATCATAGCAACATTTCCCTAATTAAGGCGTTCCTGAGCAGATGCTGATCTGATTCCTACAGACGTTGTTTTCTTCAGACAGATCACATGTTGTCTTTGAAGCAGCGAGACGTCTTCAACCCAGATAATTCTAGAGAAAAAAAGAAAGATATTCATCATTATGTTTACACCATTTTTTAATCTTAAGTGTAATATACTTCACTGTCTGAAAGGTATAAGCTGTGATGTGTTGTGCTTGTGTCCTGTGTTGTGCCCCGTTGAAGGTAAAGTTTGTTAGTAGTATCAGCAAAATGTAATATCAAGGACAGAAAGTTTATGAAATATTGTAATTTGAAAGGTAACGAAAGCTGTCCGACAAAAGCAGTGAAGTAAAAAAGTACCTGCGACATCACCGTCGTAGAAAAATGGCGTCAAATTAAAAGAAAATAAATGACAAGCCCCTTAGAATGTGTAAATTCTGAAACTGAAATGAAACCTTTTGTTCACAAAGCTGATGATGGCATTTCAATCTGACCCGGTTCTTAAAATACCCACACACATCGTACAGTTGGAGCTTAAAGAGCGATCAGTGTGATCAACGTTTCTTTCCCGTTGCAGCTCAGGCTCCTCACGACACACACGAGGCCAACGGGTCGTATCTGCGACCACCTCTGTGACTCACCTGCAGCACAACGGCAGCCACCACAACCAGCACGGCGACGAGGGCCATCCGCCCGATCCAGCCCGCGTCCACGTTGTTCAGGATGAAAAAGCGCGCCCAGCCCAGCTTCTTGGCCGTGTGAGGCGGGTAGCGCATGCTGTTCACGCCCTCCATTTTCAGCTGCTTGATGAGGCAGCCGCGCAGGTGGCTCAGCTGGTCGAAGCTGAACTTGCCGTGGTAGCAGCCCATACCACTGTTTCCTGCACGCGACCACGGAGGGAGAAGGTGTGGCTTTAAATCAATCAAAGATATTTGGACAGAAATCAACCCTTAAAAAAAGGAGGTTAAAATAGACTTAAAATAGATGTAAAAAGAATGATCCTATCTGGTTGTTTATTGACTTAGATGTAGATATTGAATAGATATTTCTGGGTTTCATTCAACCATCAAGTAATACATTCTGTTTTCATGAACGCACAAACAAGGAAGAACAAAACATTTGAATAACCACATGATCATAACAAAATAGAACTTTGCATTTGGTCTTTCTCTCTATTTCAAACATCCATTGGTTTTCATTTACTTTAGAAAGGTATGAATTGAGTCTTAAATTGAGTCTTAAAGGTAAATCACTTATTTAGTGATGCACTGGATTCTTGGTTTGTAAATCAATCAATCATCAGTCATTTTTTTAAAGCATTTGAATGTCCCCGAAAAAGTTTTTAAACCTTCCCAGGTATCATTTTGTCACCTGATGCCTTTATTTTAGTTAGTACACACAGTACTAACTAAACAGCTCAGTGAACAGCTCAGTTACGCAATAAGTCAACAAGCAAAAGAGAAACTGAGCTCTTGCTCAAAGAACCATCTCTGCTTGTCGCCGTCAGTACTCACCTACTCCTCCAAACGGCAGCGAGTTGACAGAAAAGTGCACGAGGCAGTCGTTGGCCAGCAGTCCTCCGCTGGAGGTCTCGTCTGTCATCCTGTTGATCACCTGACGAGAGAGAAGTTCTGATCATAAGTAGCTACACACTGTACACGTCTGCATCCGCTCCGCAGCAACGTCTTGCTGTGAGACGTACCTTGTCATCTGATGAGAAGACATAGAGGGCCAGAGGTTTCTCTCCTTTATTGATGAACTTGATGGCTTCGTCCAGGCCATTGACCGGCATGATGGGAAGCAGAGGTCCAAATATCTCCTCCTGCATCACCTTCGCCTCTGGCTTCACGTCCCGCAGAACCGTGGGAGCTAAACAGAAGAGCCGAAAAACACCGTTTCAGCAGAGGAATGTTTTTCATTGCCTGTTCTAAATCTCAGCCTGAATGAAAACCACGGAGAAAAGCTCCCTCTTGATCGACTTTCATTCGGAGAGTCGGTGGCTTGCGGCAGGATTACCGATGTAGCAGTCGGACTCGTCGTTGTCTCCTCCTGCGGCGACGGTGCTGTCTTCCAACATGTTCATTATCCTCTTGAAGTGGCGCTGGTTGATGATGCGTCCGTAGTCAGGACAGTTCTTTGGGTTGTCGGTATAGAACTCCTGCCAGAGGAAACCGTCTCATTACCGCACAAATATTCTTGTTCCATTCAGGCTTTTTGAAGTCGTTTTCTTTCTTCTGTACCTTTATGGACTTCTTGACCTCTTCTATGACCCGGTCCTGGATGCTGGGCTCACACAGGACGTAGTCTGGGGCGATGCAGGTCTGACCACAGTTGGTGTACTTTCCCCAGGCAACGCGCCTACACAGCGGTGGAAGAGTTAACGGGAGGATCTAAAGAACTGCTACGGTAAATTGAAAAAAAAGGGACTGCACGGAAAAACAATATTGGCAATGAAAAGAATGTAAAAGTAACCGTGACGGCGAACCGCGTCCAATCAGCGCTCTCACCGGCAGGCTATGGCGATGTCACAGGCCTTGTCGATGTAGCAGGGGCTCTTGCCGCCCAGCTCCAGGGTGACGGGCGTCAGGTTTTTGGCTGCGGCCTCCATGATCAGTTTGCCCACCGTGCTGTTGCCCGTGTAGAAGATGTGATCGAACCTCTGACGCAGCAGCTCCTGGGTCTCCGGCACGCCGCCGGTTACTACGGGGTAAAGCTCCTGGCACACAGCACGCGACCCATCAAGCACGCGGCCCATCAAGCAACCACTTGTGTGTCCCTCTCTACCACCACTCTAGTTTCTAATCATGCCCTCTAACCTGTTTATATTATATTCTAAAGGTGAAAAGTGAAAAAGTTTCATATTGTGGAATACAAACATAAAGCCTGTACTTTGGTTGAAAGAGGAAAAAATCCGGTTTGAGAAAATACATTTTCTCATTTATATGATATTTAATGTGTGCGTGTCCATTCATTTTGCTTAGGAAACAACAATATCCTCACATTGTGAACAAGGCAGCCTGATCTCCAAAACCTGTTTGTAAAAATGTTGAACATACAAATTCGTAGTGATACATACAAAATAAATACGGACTGCAACTGATGACGTCACCCTATTCAAAATGAATGGGGACCTGCACCCCGTAAACACACTTTGTGAAGTCTAACGATGTAAAATAAACGTGTTATGATTGCATTTTTAACGAGAAATCAATGTTAACTTGTAAGAATAGAATACTAACCCTAACCCCCTCAAAAAATCCAACATGGCGGAGAGACGTTCACTCAAGAATCCGACATGGTCCGCCATGTTGTTCACTCAAGGGGCGTGGTTAACCACCGCCAGTTCGTATGTATTGTTACGAATTTGTATGTTCAAGATTTTCGTATACATTTTTACGAACAGGTTTTGGAGATCACGTTGGAACAATGACAGTGTTTCACTTTGACGTCTTACTTTGTCGATGTAAAGCGGCAGCAGGTCCTCCATGACCTTTGCAGTGTGAACACAGACTTCGGACGGCTTGACCACGGCCGCATTACCTGGACGGAGAAAAAGAAACACATGGTCGACTCTTTAAGTCTTGTTTTCTTCCACCGGACCTTCATTTGAAGCTGCTACAACTGGAGTTCTTTGGTCACTTGGGGGCAGCAAAAGCAAGTTCAACAACAGTGAAATCGACACATAGAGCAAGTCTTGTTTACCAGTTTCAAAGCACCATTAACATTCATTTGGCTTCAATATATTTTTTTTGTTTGCTAATAATCCTGATGAAATTTTTTTCACTATATTCCATTATATTCGCCAAATACTGTGTTTATTTGCCATTTGTTGATTGAGTGCTTTTTGTATGGAGGAAAATAAAAATGGCAAAATTACAGCAGTTCCCAGGACATTTCTATGAATTGCTAATTTCGATTTAATAATCAAACATATTGGAGAAAAAGCGTGACTTGCGCACTACGAGTGTCTCGTCATGTTGTCTGTGTGTTATCAAAAATATGTTACCAGTACAAAATGCCCCTTTTCAAAGCTGCATTTTATTTGTGAAAACTTGATTTCTTTTGATTTTCCATAACGGGCGTCAGCGCTCTCGTTTCTTGCTTGATCATCTGTATTGTTCGATGACTAATGAGAAAACACTTGCTAGGCAGATGTAACTGTGAGAGTAAGATCTGATAATGCGAGGGATAAGAGGGATAAAGTCCAAGCTGTGCAAACACTCACTGCCACAAAACACGCAGCTCGCTCGAGCGCTTTCACCTTACGTGCTTTTAGTACAACGTTATCCAGGTGAAACGCGAATGAGCCGTCTGCCGGCAGCCGCTCTCCTCGCACTACTATGTGAAACACTCACTGGGGACGGGTTGCAAACAAAAGACCAAAGCAGGCGAAGGACCAGGGGAAGGACTGTTATAATAATGCAGTGTCATGCTAAGCAGTCACAAGACAACTCTCCACACTCAGGTTTGCATCACAATGGGATGAGAGTGGAGCCTAAACACTCGAGGCTGAGTGGCCGTTGAAGCGTTGCCTCTGGGAGAGAGATCGATTATACATTAGTTCACTTGTTATCTCGGAGCTGAGTAGTGATTCACTCTGACCTTGTCCTTTGAGCAATTTCTGATAGGATCAATGTGTGCATGTTCATACAATGCACACCGCCATGGACACATGAGCACCTGCATGCGTGTTACATACAGATGTCAGAGGACACTTTTGCTGCTGATCTTGTAGGTTTTAGTAGCTTTTCCCCCAATAATCCCAAATGGAACAGAAAGAAGAACGCCGGGCAGAGACGGGAATAAACAGGAAGTGAAGTGGTTAGACACAAGACAGAGGAACCAAACAGTACAAGAGAAATAAAAAGAAGAATAGAGAACTGGATGCACAAGTTGCCTCCAAAATTCGATATAGATGTTGCCGTTTATTGGTCTAATGGCAGTTATAAGATCCGAGGAACCTTCCGGATGTATGCATCCGGAACACTTATCCAGATCATCAATCAGCATACCAGATCATTTATATGTTCAAAAAAAACTGAACCTTTACCGGCATCTGTGTCTCTACAAACTATACAGACAGCTGTCTGTAAAGTTCAAAGTTCACCGGAGGGGAGGGACGATGGAATCAGATAGAAATGTGAACACTGACCTTATTGCACCACACACATGCAGACGAGACACACACACACACACACACTGCCCTTTCACCAGTGACGTGCACTGCCCACCCTGCCAAAATTCAAACATAAAATTGCATAATTTTACTTAATAAACTTATTAGCGTATTTTTTTATAGTTCTATATGCAATTTGTGTGTTATTCCAATTGTTAAGATGTTACAATGCTGTTACACATAATCAATTACAAAGAAATGGCAGAATAAGCGTACAACAAGCAAAAAAAACATGTTGCGCATGTGTACTTCAATCCTGTATTCTTCAACATGTACGTTAAAAAGCACAACTCTGCTGTGCCTCTGCACGTAAATGGGTTATGCCAGTAACCATCTACGTTACGTATCAAACATGGACCAATTAAATCGAGAGCTCACTGGACATTTGTGCAGCTGACGTCACCACACCAGCTACGTTGTAAGCGTAATCCTCGCGAAACTCAAAGTCAAAATGACGGTCGGGCTGAGACGAGTTTTACAAAGCTGTGATCGACGTCTTGGACGGATGGATTTCATGTACAAATAATCAACCGGTCGGTGAGTCAGAAATTATTTCGGGCTTCATATTCAATTGATAAGTGTGGTTGAATGAATACCGACAACAAGCCATTTGCCTTCATACACGAAGTAACGTTAAGTGTTTTCATTGAGGCTGACTGACAAACACAATTGGCCGCTGTGTAATAATTAAGCAATAAAGTCATTGTAATAGTGATATGTCATCGAGATTGGACATTTCTTATTCTTCTTATCTTATCGAGTGTGTGTTTGTGTCTATGTGCCGCGCTTGTGTGTAACGTTTACGGTTTTCACGCCTAAACACAACAAAACAACAAATCAGGTAATCAGACTTTCATAACTCAGTGCCTCTTACTGACATCACCGCACTGACACACACACACCCACACACACACACACACACACACACACACACCTACACACACACTGCCCTTTCACCCGCCCCACACACACACACACACACACACGCTGCAGTACCAGCTGCGATGGCTCCTATGAGCGGCTGGATGGTGACGGCCCAGGGGTAGTTCCAGGCCCCGATAATGAGCACCACGCCGAGCGGCTCCGGCTTGATGTACACGCTGTCCGAGATGGTCATCAGGTTCTTCCCCACGGGCCGAGGGGCGGCCCACTCCTTCAGCTTCTTGATGGCCAGGCTGATCTCCCCCTCCAGACCCAGAGTCTCGTACAGCTGGGTGCCCACCTCGCTCTGGGGGGGGGGGCAGTGACGTAGTGCTTGCTCATTGATGATGTTGTATTTTTGGGGTCATTTTTCACGTTATATTATGGAGCCCATCCATATCTCCACAAAGGTACTGACATTGTAACCACTTTAATCCCTTACTTTGTGGCGATCTCAATAAAATTCTCTAAACAACGACTTCATAAACTGTAACTTCTTTAAACATTTTATACATTTTGTATCCAATTGCATGTTTCTTATTTTTTTTAATCAATCCAAACATCAAACTCTGAATGCCTTTCCATCTCTTGACAACAGTTTGTGAACTGTGTGAACATCATTGAAACAAGTGAACAAAGCAAAATCTTTTATTCCAGACCTGAAGTCTAAACCCTTCCCTGTTGTGAAGATTAAACCATGAATTATGAGCATTAAAAGATTAAAACCGTACAGCCCGGAAAACAAATTTTGTACAATGTGACTCAACAGACAGGTATTGATTATTTGGGGCCGTGAGGAAGACCCTCTCACTTCGTACCTTATTGAGGTCTTTCTTGATGGCATCTGAAATCACCTTCTGTTTCTCGGTGAATAACCGCTGCAGGTTCTTCAGTTGGCGAACACGGTACTCTAAGCTTTTGGACCTGCCGGTGTCAAAGGCTTTCCTGGCACGAGCCACTGCCTGCTGCTCCCGGGACATCCTGTGCAAAAGATATTCACATATATATGAATTTATATGTTTAAATATAATATGTTTTGTCTCTTGTGTAGCACACAGTGCGCACTGTGAGGTGTGACGGCTAAAGGCCACACACTCTACTTTGTGTTCAACTCCAAATACGTATTAGTTATAAACTAGTTAAAACACACACAAATTACTTTACTATTGAAGTGAGGAAATATTACTTTTTACAGAACAAAGTATGTATCAGTATGTAAAGTTGATGAGAGTTTCTCGAACCGGACCATTTGGTAAGTTAAAGTGATACTGTGCATATTCAGCAATCTGCAACTCCTGATGTTATTCTTGTTTGATTTTTGGTTTCCCGCACCATAAACTGACATCTTTGGTTTCAAAAATGCCACAAATGTCTTCCGCACATACAATTTCAATACTGTATTTTACTTGATTCGAATATTGTAGAGATGAGGATTTTAATTAGAGAAGTAGCCTTTTAAGCAAAGTCCATAAAGTAGACGTTCTGAATACTTAATACTGTAGAATAAAACTACAGAAAGTAGAGAAAGAAAGAAACCAGTTCTCCCGATAGACTTCCTCACGGATCTGCAGTGATCCGAGAGTCTCTCGGTGCTGCGGTTTCTGTGTTTGGCGATCAGAGGATGTGTTATAAAAGGCTTGTAACACAAACCTCCAGGAGAACGAGCTCCATGCAGCCGACTCGGTCACAGGTGAAGCTGCAGTGACGTTTCACCGGTTAAAGACCATTGAGCATGACATCCGGTACATTGTCCTGTTACTTGATAATGGACCTTTGTGTCTTTGTAAATGAACCTGGACTATTCGGCAGTCACCCTGCAACACTCCCTTATTCTCCCCCGCGGGGCGATTTGAGTTTTTATAGCTCGAAGGGTTTAGTTGAGGGTTCTTCCGTTCGTTTCGCTGACTGTCAGCAAAACGCCAGAAAACATCGCAAAGTGTTGTTTTTAAATTCCTACCTGGTCAATAGCGCGGTAGGGTCAATGTCTCGATGTCCCGTCTGGAGGGACAGCTCGTAGCAGACAGGATGAAAGGCGAAGACAGCAAGTAAACACGAACCTCTCTTCCCCGTTAGGTCCCGCCCACAGGGGGCGGGGCCTCGAGGCAGCTGACTGCGGCTAGCTTGTAGCCACGTTAGCGTCGCTGCCCTATGACGCGTCTGACGAGGCGCTGCAGCACACGGAGCGTCACCACTCACAGTCGGATTAAAACAATAAAGATCCTCTGATGATTTAGAATCTCATAAGTATGACTGGACATCTCGTTTTTTACTTTCTATCCGATAATAATCGTATTTCAGAATTGTATTATTTTTTAGAAAGTTTCTCATTATAAGGATTTACAGAATCATTATTTAGTTCATTACGGCATGGGCCTCCATAATGGGCTTCCATGCTCATATTGGAAAACTAAGATAGTGAACCTGAGTATACCTTATGAAAATAAACAAAACCAACCTAAACGATGAGCCAAAGAGAAAAACGTTTTCACAAAGAATTTACCAAAGCCTCTTAAAATCCCCCCCATCCCACAACATGTTGAAATTGTTTAGGCATAATACAGTACAGTCTGAAACATAAATGTACTTTTGCATAATAACGGGCTTGCAAGCAAACTTTAAGGTTGGATCATAATATATTATCAATCTTACCGTACATTTTTGTAATACTGCTATACTCTTGTTTCAGGACTGATGTCATAATTACAATCTGGGAAACAATGATACAATCCTGAATTAACCCTGGGTAAAGAGGTGTTTATTCATTTAGTTTTAGATTTTGGCCTATACTCAGCATCAGATCTTCATTTTTCTGCTTTCCCTCCGTTCCCCGTCACAGCCTGATGTCCTCTTATCCATAGCCGAGCTGGAATCACACTCAGCTTCTATCTCTCAGATCAAGAAAACACTTTTTACAACGTGGGACACGATACATGAAGTAACCATCTCACCTCGGCCCCAGAGCACATGGAATCGACCCAAAACAGTCTCAGGTTGACAGGAAATGTGAACAGAGTTTCCACATCAAACAGTGGGCTGCGGAATGGTGTTTGTGTATTGTGAAGGATGGAGCGAGGATGTAGGTGAGGGAGAGGATGGCAAAGCGTCATTCACACCTGAGTGTCAACCCTGATTTCTTAGAGAGGAGTGTGGATACAGAAGACCAGCATTTCTCCGTGTGCACACCTGAGTGTGTGAGGTATACCAAGGCATTGAGACACAGAGAGAAGCACAGTTTGTGTATTGTGAGGGGCGTTTTGGTGCCAGAGGGGAGGTTAGGAATATACGGTTTGGATCCAACTCAAAAGAAAATGTAGCGCATCACTCCATGAACATGGAATTTGATGAATAAAAGTAAATGCGTGTAAAACCATGTGTCCATTTGACTGCTAATATTTTAGCTGAATGTGTTAGTAAAACAAGCAACAAGCTATATATTAAAATATATAAATATATTTAAAAAATCATAATAATTTGTCTAATTTGGCACAGAAATGTATGTTGTTGTTAGCCAGCCAGCCAGCGTCCATTTCACATGAGCTTGATCAGGTGAATATTACACCCCCCCCCCCCCCCCCCCTCTCTTTTTTTTTTTTTTTATTAAGGATTTGGGAACATCTCAGGTGCTCCCGGGGCTCTGTATTTAATTGAGTTAAAACATCTGTGAGCTTTTGGCATTTTCAAATATATTCCTATGGTGTTTTGATAGTGATGGAGAAGACACGTTGCTCCCAAATCTCAGGTGAAGGTCAACTTTGATGAGATCTGGTGTCTGTGTACCTCTTTATTACCCGTCTGTTTACGCCTATTGTTTACTTATAAAAACGACCTTTTCTGTCCTTCACCACAACGTGGACATATGATTATTATACTATCTAATACGGCCATCTAGTGGCCTCTTTTCACCTCGCACTCTTCTGCTGGCTAAAAACAAATACTAGTTACAACAACATTACTAACCTTTAACAAGGCCCACGAAAAAAGGCACAAAGTATATTAAATATTTCGAAAATAGGGCAGGCACACATTATTGTCAAGCTCTAACACAGGAAGACACCAAGCTTATAAATAAGAAATGTGTGTCATGTTATTCTGTCGGAGAGAATAACGTGTCCAGGCGGTAATCTTTGGCAGCACGAGACCCTGTTTCGATGGCCCATCTAGTCCGGGTATCGACTGAGAGTTGCCTTAATGATTGTCACGTGACGGTCAGTGATGTGAATAGCCTACTTCTCAGTTGATGTGAAGCAATTAAGTTAATGCTCATTTTCAGACCGTTATGACCAAACCGTCTCCTTTATCACGCGCACAAAAAACGATGCACGGCGGTGTCGTTTTAGTTCTTTTTTTAAATATTATTATTATTAAAAAAAACATTATAAGCCAAAAACGCAACTGAATCTGTGATTTTAAATTATTTTCCCAATGACCCAAACCGCGTGAGTCTGGCACCCGCCTGGGAACGTCGCAGTGGACTGTGCGCTATCCGGTGTTTTGATGTCTCGATCGGTGGAAACGTAACCGACCAGGAAGGATAAAAAGTCGCCCGGTTTGTCACCTCGACACATTATAGCTGACTGAAGCCTCACTCCTCCAGCTTCTTCAATACACTTCCACTATCCACTCACTGCTTTTTTGTCTCTTCTGATGCGCAGCGGGAGGTCGCAACTGTGGAGGAGAGGATATGCCACAGACCGAAGTGTCAGAAAAGCGTGATAACCTCATATATGTGTATATATTGAGCCTATAGATTGCACAAATCATTTGTTCCTTAATCTTTCCATTTCTAAAAAAACAACAAACTAAAAGTCATCTTAAATTCAGATATTTAGAGGATCTCAGTGTTGTGTGACCGTACACTTTTCCAGGATGGGGCAAACTCTGTCTCGGCTAAATGGGCCCATTAACGGGTCCCTGCGGATCAAACAGACACCTATTAGTCGAGAGAGTGTATAGGTGCGTTACACATCAAAGGCACGCGTTTGTAAGGCTTGACAATATCCACTGGGATGGGATGGGTAGAGGGGCGGGGTGTCTGTCAAGCCAACTATAAAACCCTCTTGTGTCCATACTGGATCAGCAAGCGTCGCGGAGAGACTCGAGGAAACGTACCCTCTTTGTTTTGGGACCCTGCAGAGGAGAATGGCGTTCGGGTTGGATTTGACTGGCGGTCACGTTTCTGAGATAAACGAGCTTTACATGGGACATTGCTGGCCCACTGCATGCTGGGACACGAACAACAACGGCGATTACGCACAGGACTCCAGCAAAGGTGAGGGACTTGGCATGTGAATATGTATTACGTTTTATCTGGGTTGCAAATACGTACAATATTAAGGTCAAAGCATTATGTTATGTTGCATATCTCCAACTTTCTGGCAATGTGCTTGTATACCCTTCTAGTCAGAAAAGTGGACGAATAACTAAGTATTGTTCTCTCCCGATAGGGCATCATGCTGCTCCGCACAGGACGCGCTCGGACACCCAGCGCCGCCGGAAGCGCACAACTTTCAGCAAGGCTCAGCTGAGCGAGCTGGAGAGGGCCTTCTCGGCCACGCAGTACCCGGACATTAGAATGAAGGAGTCTCTTGCATCTGTCACCGGGATACCGGAGTCGAAAATCCAGGTATGGAACACGCTTCTCAAACTTGCAATGCGCAAATGTGTCGATAACGCATGAGTGTGTCCAAAAAATGACCACATTTCTTTTTTTTTTAAACAGGTCTGGTTCCAAAATCGACGTGCACGCTATTTCAAGAGCAAGAAACCGACTAAAGAGGTCAAGAAACCTTCTACGGACTACCGTCATCAGTTCTCCTGCACCCAATCTCCCAGTCTACCATTCCTACAGTTTCATCCTTCTTTTGCTCCCACTCCCACTCCCAGCCCACCCGCCCCTGCGGACTACCCTGGTCCAAGTCTACCTCAGTCAACCAGGCTTTCAACCATACTTGGGAGTCAGGCCGTGACCCCCCCTGCACCGACGTCTTATGTCGCCGGCGACCAGGCTAAAGGCTGGTCTCCGCATGGACCGGGTCTCCTAGGAGCGTCGCCCCGAGACCAGTATTACCAAACGCCAGACTTTTCAGATTACTTCCAAGATATGTTCGCACCTGGTGGGCTCAGTGAATGGGATTTTTCGGTGGACTTTGATGCTTTGCTCGGAGATGCACAGGGATCCCCACAGCCTGTTGCTAGCCGCTGCGCTGTTTTCACACATACTGGACCCAACGATACTGGACCCAACGACAGCGTGCAGAGTCAGCTCGACCATCAGAACTTCTGCAGCACTGACGAGGCCACGGACGACCTGTCCGATCTGGGCGATTTCTGTCTGTCTGATTTGAATATTTCCGAGGCCATGATTGATTATCTTTTGGGTTGACTGACATTTTGGAAAACAAGTGAAGTAGCTCATCGAACTGATTGTAAATAACCTTAGCTATATATATATATATATATATATTTATAACGCGACTGCTCTAAAGAAAGGACATTCTGATGTGAATTAAATGCACGAAACTATTCAGATAGTTACTTACCTATTGTTGATTGTTGTTGTTACTGAGATTTTCAAATAAAAACTATTTATTCTACACGTCAAATAGCATAAAGATATATTCTTTAAAGTCAAGCCACACAGTCACGTGGCGCCGTGGCTTAGATGGTTAAAGCGCCTGTCTAGTAAACAGGAGATCCTGGGTTCGAATCCCAGCGGTGCCTTTTCGATTAATTCTGCAAATGGTCAAGACACATGAATGCACTCGGGTTGTTTTTTTTTTAACTGTAATAGCAAAACGGAGGCGGCGTCTTTGACCGTTTACATCGAAAGAAAAGTAGTGCTACATGCAATCATCTGTGTAAACGGGGATCTACCGCTATGTTGTCAGTCTCGACAACGTCTTTATTCAATAATTTACGTTAGGTTTCGTTTTCAACAGTGCTCGGCGACACGTCTGCAAACGTATTACAGTTGTTCAGTGAAGAATCTGTTGGAATCAAGATTAAATTATTTATAATTGGCCCTGCACACATACAAACGCTCTTGATTTACATGTTTTCACTTTTGTCCAGAAGAGGGTGCATCTCGTTCGAGAGAGC